GAGCCAGCGATGGAGGACGAGGAGATGGAGAGGAAGGTGCAGCAGTACCTGCACCGCAAGGGCTTCCGCCTCACCGAGCTCGCGCTGCAGGAGGAGCGCAACCGCCTCTCCACCACCTCCCTCTCCGACGTCTCGCTCTCCAGGTGCGCCCGCCCGCCTCCGCGAATCCCCCTGAATCTCTACCCCCGCCGCCCCTTTCGGCGGCCGCAGCGGTCTCGAGCGTGAGAAATTGATACTACTTTGGCTTGGGCAATTGCAGACCTTCGACATGATTTGAGCCTTGAGCAGAGTTTATGGGGGCTAATCTAGAGTATCATGTCAAATATGCTCGAAAACTGCTCTAATTCCATGTTAATCTGAAAAATTTACTATGTCCCCCTTTGTTGGCAGGCCGGATAACGACCCAGCAAGATACTATGATGGCTACAACAAGCTAAGATCATGGGCATACAATTCTCTGGACCAATACAAGGTGTGCTACATTAAGTGTGGATTGTGATTCACGTTTACAGCTCTAGTAGTACATTTGAATGCACTTTGCTTTGCAGCATTCACAGATGTTTTGAGGCATGTAGCTGCTATATCCACACTGTTCAGTAATCTAGCATGCTACTCATGAGTTATCTTCATGTTTCTCTTATTGAAAATGAGCATGCCTGCTTGGTGCACCATGCTTCCAGGATCATGGCTGAATGCTTGCCTACTAGCTTTAGATGTCGCATTTATGAAATGGTCTTTGTTTTATGGCATGTCTTTACACTGCAGAGCTCCATCTAAAAAGCAAAAACCACTCACATAAGCATAATCACGTACTTGTCACATGATTGTAGTCACTGGAAATGGGATATTTGCTTGCGGTGGATGGACTACTTGCTATAATTTGATGTACCTATTACATGGAATGGCCTTTTTTATTTCCTTGTATTCAGCTATATATATTTCGTGCCTCTGAGTTATTTTTTTTATATTGTAGCATGAATTACTCCGTGTCCTTTATCCAGCGTTTATCCATTGCTTCATGGATCTAGTGTCAGAGGGGCATACACTAGAAGGTAATTATTTTTGTAGGCAAGAAGATATTGGTAGTTGGTGTACATTTCTGTGATAATATTTGTTTGCAGTTTATGCATCCACTTAGTTTATTTGAGGCATTTCTGTCGTTGATATCACCACACATGAATCTTGCAGCTCGGCAATTTTTCCTTAAATTTCGGGAAGATCATGAACTGATGCATTCAAGGGATCTCCAAAAGCTGGAAGGCACTCTTTCTCCTTTGCATTTGGAGGTTCGTCATTTAGCTCTCTTACATCCTTCAACTGTGAATGGAGATTTCATTTGTTTATTTGATTTTATCTACTCAGGATTCACAAAACATGCACTTATTGTTTTGCCTGCTATAATTTTCAGGAAATGGATCTGGCCCAATCTTTAAGGGAAAATAAATTCAGAATTAAATTATGTGAGGTAGTACTGCACCAAGTTCTTTTATATTTGCATTCCATCTCTTTGTTTCAACTACGATTGTATGGGTGGGTCACCTTTTGAGTTAAATCAATGCACATAGGTAAAATGTTCCACTGGATGCATATCCGTTGTTGTGACAATAGTTTTTTAAGTTGAGATGCTTTATTCTCGTGTACCCTTTTCCACCACTTACTTGGTAAGTGTTGTTATGACCAAGGGAAACAAACACAATCTAAGGTTTGTTACAAGCTTTTTCTTCCTGAATCCAAATGGGCAACTAGTTTCAAATAGGAGTAGATGATACGTCATCATGATACCATAATACATATACGGAATGCTAGTGTCAAATATGAGACACAAACCGCATATAGACCAATTTTTCACAGATGTTGCTGGCAAGGCACATTCCATGTGGTGATTTGTAGTTCAGTTGGCAACTCGTTGAATGATACATCATGATCTCACCTTTTTCCTTTGCTGCAATTTTGTTTTTCCTATAAAATTATGTCAACTGCTCTGTTTAAAGTTTCTACCTCGTGTTTCATTGCAGTATTCATATGAATTACTTCTCCAGTATCTCCAGAAAACACAAGCTCTCGTGATGCTTGGAATAATCAATGAAAGAATAATTTTTGAAGGTACAGTTCCCAGTCTGTCGAGATTATATCACACATTTTACTTACCCTTGCTTCTCACTTTTCCACCACATCCCTCTATCTATATTGGCAGTATCCGCTGGGCAGCCTTCATTGATCTCTGATGATGCGGATGTTGTTGCTCTGGTTGGAACCAGTAAGGACTTGGCAAAACAGATAAATCAGAAGGAAGTGCATTGGGGGGTATGTTATTCAGCACATCCGTGATCAATGTGTTTGTTTCCTATTATCTATTCTATCAAAACGGTTAACAATGCCGATCAAATAGGGACAAAACTCTAGTAGCACTGTTTTTGCCACTTCCCAAACGAACCTCTTCCATGAGTGCAATTTTTCAGTTTTCTATTTAAGTATTTACTAGTAAATTGTACGTGCTTTGCATGTCATTTAAATATGTGTGCAAAGTTCAATTCATGGATACACTGCTTGCTCCCTTCAAACATGGTACCTTCGCATGTAAAGCTTGATCGAGTTCATTATTGTAGCCATTCTGTTTTGTATATATGTTGCCTGAAAAAAGGGGTTCAGTCCTGTATATAAAGCTTTACATGCTTAGTATTAGTATCTCGTACTACATTGAGCTTACTTTGCAACTTCTTGAAAATTTCCTACTTCTCCCTGACGCGATTAGTGCGCGCGTTGCAGACGCTCTGCCAGTGTGTGTACCTTGACCAGTTGCATGCATGAATGGATAACCTTAGGCAAGTGAAACTTTTCCTACATTGGTATATAGTGATGGTTCTAGAAATCAGTGGTATCTTCTGTTATGGCCGGTTTAGCTAGGCCCACCGGGCAATCTTAGTCCACAAGTTATCTTAGGTTAATTCTTATGCAAGTTATCTAGGTTATAAATATAGGCTGTAAGACTCTTTTTGGAATTAAGCAATAAGAATATTATTATCCCTATTGCCTGGCTCCCAGAGGAGCCGGAACCCTAGCCGCCGCCATCTCCCTCCGACGTGACGGTGCCCCGTCCCACTCCATCCTTTCCCTACAACCTCCGGAGCAGGTCTGGTAGGACCCCTGGTTCTACCAATTTGGTATCCAGAGACTCGGGTTCGATCATGTCGTCATCAACACATACGCCGCCGCTGCCCATCATCACCACCGCCCCGATGACCACTGCCGGGTCCCCAACGCCGCCGGCCCCGATCACCTCTGCGCCGCCGGCCCCCGTCACTTCCGCGCCGCCGACAACCTCCGTCTTCACGCCGGAGGAGATGACCAGCACCCTGCGGGACCTCGTGACGGCCGTCCAGGGCATCTCCCTGTACTTGGCCGGCCCGCACACCACCCCGCCGGCTGCGGCCCCCCGCCTACAGCCACCCGGCGACGCACTGGCCGATCCAGAACGCATCGGGCCCGAGCGGGACGCCCTTGCTGCCGTTCCAGGGGGGCTACACCGGCGGGCCACCGCCGCTGCTGCACCCGCCCTGGTACTCTGTACCCGTGGCGATCGCCGGGGCCCATCTGTCGCTCCAGCCGCCGCCCGCCCCAGCGCCGGTTCTCGCGGCGCCACCCGCGCCTCCCGCACCCGCCCTAGCGCCGCAGTGGCCGCACTGGCCCACGCCGGCCCCAGCTGCACCAACCGCGCCGCCCGCGCCGGTCCAGCTCCCACCGCCGCTGCCCAGCTCCGGACTGGGCAGTCCACACCGGGAGGACTTCCGATCCAGCAGGTCCGGTTTCCGCCGTCACCGTCCTCGATCCCGGCCTGGCTAACCGGGACGTCGCCACCGCCAGTTTACACAAGAGGTCGGGGACCCATCGGTACCCACGATGCAGTCTGGGGCCTCGTCCGGCTCCGCGAGGGCCTACGACGGCCTCCCCACCGTTGACCGGGCGCCATCAGCCATCATCATCATTGCTCCGCACCGCCGAGCCTGTCGGCCATGGCGCGCCGACCCAGATGCCGCCACAGTTCGCCAAGATCGATTTCGCCACTTATGACGGCACTGAGGACCCGCTTAACTGGCTCAACCAGTGTGAGCAGTTTTTTCGTGGCCAGCGCACGCTCGCGTCGGAGCGCACTTGGCTAGCATCCTACCACCTCCGCGGTGCAGGCCAGCCCTGGTACTACGCCCTCGAGCAGGACGAGGGCAGCATGCCCCCTTGGGAGCGCTTCCGCGAGCTCTGCCTCCTTCGCTTTGGCCTCCGGTTCGCGGGAGCCGCCTGGCGGAGCTCGGCCGCCTTCCCTTCACCTCCACGGTGCAGGACTTCGCCGACCGTTTCCAGGCCTTGGCATGCCATGCGTCGGGCATGACGGCGCAGCAGCGGGCCGACCTCTTTGTCGGTGGACTTCCGGATCACATCCGCGTGGACGTGGAGCTTCGGGGACCCTAGGATCTCCAGTCGGCCATGTACTACGCCCGCGCGTTCGAGCGCCGCACGGTGGCCATCCAGCAGGAATCACCGTCCCGGACCACTGGGTCGCTACCCGGGCCGGATTCCACGCAGGGTCGGCCTGCGCAGGCTTCTGCGGCACCCCTCGCCGCGACCGCGGCGCGCCCGTTCCGTTGGCTCACCTCAGTCGAGCTACTCGAGCGTCGCCGCCAAGGGTTGTGCTTCAACTGCGACGAGCCCTACACGCCCGGCCATGCCTGCCCACGACTCTTCTACCTGGAGGTTGCAGACTACATTCCGGAGGACGCCGTCGCCGCCGACCTGGCCGCCCCAGCTATCGAGAAGGTGTTTGACGCTGGTTGATCGCCTCGAGGAGTTCCGCAAGCGCTTCCCCACCTTACAGCTCGAGGACGAGCTGTTTGTGCAGGCGGGGAGAAGTGTTATGGCCGGTTTAGCTAGGCCCACCGGGCAATCTTAGTCCACAAGTTATCTTAGGTTAATTCTTATGCAAGTTATCTAGGTTATAAATATAGGCTGTAAGACTCTTTTTGGAATTAAGCAATAAGAATATTATTATCCCTATTGCCCGGCTCCCAGAGGAGCCGGAACCCTAGCCGCCGCCGCCATCTCCCTCCGACGCGATGGCGCCCAGCCGCCGGCGCGCCCGATCATCGCCCCATCCCACTCCATCCTTTCCCTACAACCTCCGGAGCAGGTCCGGTAGGACCCCTGGTTCTACCATGTTCACTGGTACTGTAGCTCATACTGTAGCTGCGAATCCCACAATTTTCAGCCCTCTGATTGACTCTATCAATGGCTCACATTGCTTTTTGGTTTTGAGATCCAAACATTTAAAACTCGTACACTATAGAGTAGTATAGATATAGATATAGATTCTTCGTTATCCTTAGGCATGTGTTATTGTTAAAATTAAATATATAGTATGCAGTTGCTTGAAGATTCAGTTGAGGAGCGCATGGAGAAAGCACTCTCAGATTCTGATAGAGCTGAAGCAGAAAGCAAGGATGCAGATGCAGAAGATAATAACAAGGCAAGAAAGTCTCCCATAGTATGGGACCCTTGTTATATTATGTTTGTTTTATGCTCTCTGCCATTGAAACCTGGACATTCCTTTTTTGTCAGCACTCAGCAGCATGTTTTTGTTCTTCTCTTCTTCTGTTGTTATCTTAAGAACAGGAATGCTGCTGTTCATTGCTTGGTTCCACTATCCATATACCCTTGTTTGTTATTTACGTTGGATCTTTCATTATTTCTTATTGTTTTTGCTACAGAAAAAATCCTCATTAGGTGGAAAGCAGGGCGGTCCTCTTAACAAAAAGCTCAAAAAGGATAAGCTTGTAGGCGCAACAGGAAAAAATACGAAATCCGAAACAAGCATGATTTCTGCAGCACCTCGTGTGAAACCAGAGCTAACCCTTCCAGCGGCGTAAACATTTATTCTCTTATCTACAGTTTAAATAATTTCTCAACTGTATTCTTTGAAAATAGATACCATCCCTATAACTTATAAACTGAATGTGGGTCCATACTCCAGACATGTCTGTGTCATTTGCTTGAGCCTGACTTGGAACCTAAAATAAAGGCTGAGATGTTTTATGGGGGGTCTGTTGGAAAAGTTATCTTACAAGTTTCAGGAGGACAAAATATTGTTCTTTTTCCATTTTGCTGAACATACTCACTTGTCTACTTTTTTATCTGCCAAGTGTCAGCCTTGCGTTTATGATCCTGAAAAATTACTTGTTTTCTTCAGGCCTGTTGAAGTTGAACAATCAATTCTTGAGGACCTGCGGAACCGTGCACAATTGAATAACTTGGCATTGCCATCTGTTAGCTTCTACACATTCCTTAATACACATAACGGGTAAGCTTAGCTGTAATTTAGTATCAACTGTTTCAGTGTGCATACTTTGGTTTGAAAACATTATCCTGTGGAGTGCAGATTAAACTGCTCATCGATATCAAACGATGGATCTTTGATAGTTGGTGGGTTCTCAGACTCATCAGTGAAGGTTAGTCCCTTTAGGTGATAGTTTGTTTCTCATGTGATCACTACATTAACTGGCAAAACTTCCTTTTTTACTAGGTTTGGGATATGGCAAAGATTGGTCAACCAGCCAAAACATGTTAGTCGTTCTACACTACATATTGCTGATGTTTTAGTTCCACTGTGATATGGTGAAATGCTTCTGTAACTGCGCACCTGATTTCGGTCATGGTTGTTTTTTGTTCTAAGGATCCTAGTTTATTTCATTTAGTTTAAGTTATAACCTTGAAGTTTAAGGTGGTGTTGCAGCACTGATGCATGGTCAATGCAATGAATGTCTTCTGGACCTATTGTTGGACATGCTAGAATATTTTACTGGCTTTGCAGTATTTGACTGGAACCTGTCCAGAACTTCAGAATAACCATAGAACATTAATTTTCCTAACATAGTAGTGTTTTCATTTCTATCTTGATGGTATTTGCTGATTGGTCAAATTTGGACTCTCAGCTAGTTCACAAGGAGAGAATGGATCTTCACAGGACGAGCGCTTGTCATCAACATCTGAGGGGAAAAGACCGTATACATTATTCCAAGGTCATTCTGGACCAGTTTATTCCGCTGCCTTTAGTCCATTTGGAGATTTTCTCCTGTCATCATCTTCAGATTCAACAAGTAAAGCATCACTTACATTATGCTTATTTTGTACCATTCATTTGCTTGTTCATTTATTTAATCAAACTAACCGTTCATCTATTTCTATATATTTGTTACAGTTCGGCTATGGAGTACCAAGTTGAATGCCAATCTTGTTTGTTACAAAGGACACAATTACCCGGTTTGGGATGTCCAAGTATGTGAGCAAATCCTTTCTCCGTGTCATTGTTGTGAAAACAACATTTGAGTTCTTTCTTCATGGGGTGTCTTGATTGCTTAGTTCAGGCCAAAACATTTGATTAGTTAGTTGATTGTTCAGTAGTTTTTATTTGAATGATGCTCAGATCTGTTATTACAATCAGTGTCGATGCCGTACAATCAATCAGTTGTTCAGTAGTTTTTAATAAACTCTTCTGAAGTTCTAATGTGGCCTGATTTCAGTAGTTTCTAAGAAACTCTTCTGAAGTTCTAATAGTGGCCTCATTTCAGTAGTTTTAAATGAATTCTTCTGAAGTTCTAATAATAGTGGTCTCATTTCAGTAGTTTTTAATAAACACTTCTGGAGTTCTTTTTTGAGAGAAAACTTTTCTGGAGTTCTAATAGTGGCCTCATTGTTACAAAAGATGTCCTTGCCCTAGTCTTGATCTTGGCGAGACGAGTGCGAAACTGCAAATACTTGTGGTACATATTCCTAGTTCGCTCTTCATTTTTGAACACTTCTGATGATGGGATTTGGAATAGGTCCGTTGGGCTTAATATTCTTTTGAATAGCTTATGATCGGCACATATGTTTGTGTTGCATAGCTTTCTAATTCTGTTCTATTGAATAGACATCATTGTGCATTGTATTGCTGACATATTTTTATATTTTTGTGGCAGTTTAGTCCAGTCGGCCATTATTTTGCCAGTGCCTCGCATGACAGGACTGCTCGAATATGGTCAATGGATAAAATCCAACCTTTGCGGATAATGGCTGGGCATCTTGCTGATGTTGATGTAAGTGTGCTTCTAGCTCAGATCTTGTAGTGATTTGAGAATTGATAGTCTGCATTCTGACTGATGTTCTCTTCTGCATATTACTTATCTGACAGTGTGTGCAATGGCATGTAAACTGTAACTACATTGCCACCGGCTCTAGTGACAAAACTGTAAGGCTATGGGATGTTCAAACTGGTGAATGTATACGGATGTTTATTGGTCATAGGAGTATGGTCTTGTCCCTGGCAATGTCTCCTGATGGCCGATACATGGCCTCCGGAGATGAAGATGGGACCATCATGATGTGGGATCTCTCTACTGGTCGCTGCGTTTCACCACTAGCAGGACACAACTCTTGTGTGTGGTCACTTGCTTTCAGGTAATCACATTATACATTGTTTTGCTTGCTTAGTATCCCATGTGTCCTTGTTACTGATGGCAATCAAATAATAGCTGCCGTACCAAATAAATATGCGTAGAGAGTATTAGTTTATGGTAGGGCTTGACAAAGTGGGTTAGATTTACCTATAAATGAGCAATGGGTTCACTAATCATTTTGACCATCCTTTTTTAGAGTACTTAACTGGATGGTTGCGTAATTCTGTCTTCAAATGACCACATCATGTATCTTGAACGCTCGTATGTGGTTATTTTTTCTTGAGTATACATTGACGGTCCATGTTTAAGAAATTTTAAACATATTGTATCTGCTTATTATGCGCTTTAAAGAAATTATAGTCTTTGGAGATTATCTTATGGGTCTATTGTTTAAAAAAAATTCTGTAAAAAATGTCTTCCACGTATCCACTATTTTCAGTAGATGTAAGCTGCAACATATTATATTGAATATCACTGATAGTTCTTCTGTTTTGAAATGTACATTTTTTTCTTTCAGTGATGAGTCACCCTGTGCTGTTGTATCTAGTTACATATGATTTTAGTTTTTGGAGAAGTACAATTACTTAATTGCGTGGTAATCTGCTATACCAAAGAATCATCTTAGTTAAACAATTCTTCCTTTGTTTATAGCTGCGAGGGAGCATTGCTTGCATCTGGATCAGCTGATTGCACTGTTAAACTCTGGGATGTCGCGTCCAGCACAAAGGCCCTGAAGATGGATGACACGTAAGTTGATTGGCTTGCTTGTAAAAGGCTGCTTTGGTTTGCCTTACTCTAGTTTTTAAATATCCTTTCTTTTTGTGAAACAGCAAGGCTGGTTCTACGAACCGACTGAGGCTGCTGAAAGCTCTCCCTACAAAATCGACTCCTGTTTATAACTTGCGGGTGAGAAACCGCTGTCATCAGTTAACATATGGTAGTTACCGTGTGCAGTGAAAACAAACTAACTGCTTTTCTCCATTGCAGTTTTCTCGGAGGAATCTATTGTTTGCGTCTGGCGCTCTCTCGCTATAGGCTCCTAAGCTTGCTGTATATGCACTCTGGAATACAATTCACATTTTTTTCATTTTTGACCTTAAGTAGCAAAGTAGATGTTTACTTGGCTGACTCGTGTTGTAGAGCTTATTACATTGTCCTTGCTGATCTCAGTGAACCCTATGATTAACTAGGTTGTTAAAATGTAGCCTGTGAGCATTGCGACTCATTGAAACATGTGTATCACTGTTGTAACATTAGCTAATTTTAAAATATGTAAAAGGTAGTAGTCACAAATAGGAAACATGAACACTTGGTTGATGCAAGAAGTCAATGGTCCAGGAGCTTCTAGGATATACTTGAGGGTTGTTTTCACATTATCTTGGTGTAGGGTCCGAATGAGCTGCCATTTGATATTTTGATATAGTTATTATGCGACTTGTGAGAGAAAAAAGCACTACCTGTCTGTCTTGAGTTGAGCGATAAAGGCAATACCTATCTCTTAAACTATTATTGACGTTGAATTGGAAGAAGCTTGTGTTATTTTGTATCCTACTATCTGTCGACATCTGGACCAGAGCGCTGCTATCACAAGTAAATGTTGATTTCTTAACGATGTTGCCAAACCCAAATGGAGAACCGTTGCGCACCCTGCATTTTGTCGACATGCCGCGCGGAAGGTTTCTCTCTGCCTGGCTGCGGCGCAATATGGCCTGTCCAGCTGAAACAGCGACGCAAAGTAGGTGGGAGATGAAATAAATTTTGACTTGGCCGCTGCGTTGGATGTCAAAGCTGAAATAATGCAGTGACAATGGCTGATGCGACCTGACGACCGTGTGGATGCCAGGGGCGCTGCGCAAGTGCTCTTAAACCCCTGGGGCCTGAGCTAGCCATCTAGCCGAGCATCCTACTTTCGCCTTACTCACACACCACCACCCGGGGAATCCCAAAGCTAGAAGAGGTCGTCGTCCTGCCGTGCGCTCCATCAAAGGTTCGCAACTATCATCTCTCGTCCTGATTTTTATTTATTTATTTCACGAGTTGTTCTCTTGTCCTGATATACTAGTAGTTCTATCGAGTAATCATCTTTTCTTGGGATGTAATCCTCGGTAAAAGGAAGCACCTAGTCGCCAAGTTTACATGTATCAGTCGATTCTCACAGCCTAGTACTATTCATCTTGTTCCCCTCCCAGTCGACCCGCTCTCTAGCCCCTGCTTAACTACCTACCGGCTATCGCCGCTGTGCACCACCCTGCCCTCTCTGAGCAGCCTCTCCTGTCGTGTTACAACTGTTCTAACCATCCCTCTAAGCCCCACCCTTTTCATGCGCCTGCGAGCACCCGTCAACCCTTTTCTATGCTCCACATGGCACCGGCAATGATGCGGCTAAGCAACCGATGCTTAGCAAATCCGCAAAAAATATCTCTTTTGGGTTGAGTCTTCTTGTCAGGCTTGTTATCTTATGTATTGTTTTGCTGTTTTCTCACATATTTTTAAAAATTAGAGGTATAATCCTTTTTTTCGTGAAGTTTCAGATATTAGTTTCGTCATGCTCAGACTAGCACTTTGCTTCAAAGTACTACAAGTTAGGGGGTATTTGGTTGGGCTTAACTTCAGCTTTTGCATTTTGGCTTGTAAGCCAACAAAAATTCACCTATTTTACGGGCTTTTCGCTTATACCATCATGTGCAAAACCCAAACAACATTGCCACGTACGCGTAGGACACTTCCCATCCAATATTTGTACGATATCCCACATCACACCGTTCATGCGCAAGGCTAAGCTGCAACTGGCCGTTGGATTAGCCACCGTACCACTATGGCACCACAACAAGTCTTATATGAAATGCTTCCGATAACCAAAAGCCTGAAATTGGTGCTTAGACTTGGTCTTTCGTCCTTATTTTACTAGTAGTTTTTATCAAATAATCATCAGTTTTTGACTTGTTATCCTCGAAAAGAGGGAGCACTCATCCGTCAGTTGCTTGAAAAAGTATTTATGGATAAGTTATGTTATTCCTTCGTGTGTGGCTACTGTTCATCTTTCCCCCCACCCATTCTACCCGCTCTCTAGCCCATGCATACCTGCCTACCGCCGCCGTTCCGGCCACCCCCCTCCCATTCTACCCGCTCTCTAGCCCATGCATACCTGCCTACCGCCGCCGTTCCGGCCACCCCCCTAAGCCCCACACTTCTGCTGTGCTGGCAAGCACCCTTGCAGCCGTCAATCCTCTTCATATCTTCTGCTGGTGATGACGTGGCTAGACAACATATGCTTAGCAAATCCGCAAAAAAGTAATCTGTTTTGATTTGTGTCTTCTGGTTAGGCTTGTTACCATACGTACTGCCTTTTAGTTTTTTATTCACACATTTTCAGAAATAGAGCTATGCTTTTTTTTCATGAAGTTTTAAATATTAGGTTCATATGTAATTATGTACCCATGTTTGGACTTGCACTTTGCAACGAAGTACTATGAGTTAGTGGGTATTTGGCTACGTTTAACTTTGGCTTTTGCATTTTGGCTTATAGGCAAGAAGGACACCTAGGATGGTATTAAGCAAAATAAAATATACCTATGATTGTATAATCCAAAAGTCCATAAATAGGTGTTTTCCCGGGCTTTTAAGCCAAGTGCAAAAGCCAAAGTTAAGCCCAACCGAACACCCCTTAGTGTGCTTATCTTCTCCGGTGAGCATATAATACAAATATGTTTACAAAAATAAAATGCTAATTTATGACCATTTTCCATTTTTATCCTTGCAACCCCATTGGTGAAAAAATGGTCTATCTGTATTGGAAGTTACTGAGTAAAAGTGACGTAGTATGCACTAATGTAGGTTTGTAATTTTTTGGAGCTTATGTTGAAAATGCATGTCTGGCCTTTTGCAGGAAACATAAACCTCATGGGTCTCGCCATGCTTGTTCTACCAGTGCTCTTAGGGTTGTTTTATGGAGCAAGTGACATTAATTGCTCAACAGTTCATGGTAACACCACAGATCACCGTTCACTGCTTGATTTCAAAGGGGCCATCAGAGCGGACCCAAGAGGAGCCTTGCGCTCTTGGAATGAGAACATCCACTACTGTATGTGGTCGGGCATCAAGTGCAGCACAATGCACCCAGAACGTGTTACAGTGCTAAACCTTGCCAACATGAGCTTGACAGGCCAAATCACACCCTCTCTAGGAAATCTAACCTTCCTTTGGGAACTTACACTATCCAACAATCTCTTCTCTGGCCAGTTGCCCTCTCTCAATCGTCTTATAAGATTAGAAAGCCTTTACTTACAGAACAACTTGTTGCAGGGGAACATTCCGAATGCACTTACAAATTGTTCCAAACTCCTTTTACTAGACCTCTCTTCTAACATGCTAGTGGGTTCGATTCCTGGAAATATAGGTTCCCTCTACAATCTAAAGGGAATTGACCTTTCCAATAATAGCCTCACAGGAAACATTCCACCAACCTTCGGCAACAACACTTACTTAGAAGAGCTACGACTTACCCACAATCAACTCAAAGGAAGCATTCCTGAAGATCTTGGGAAATTGCCGAATATGGGGAAGAACCGGGCGGTGTTTCTCGGTCAGAATAGGCTATCGGGTAGAGTTCCAACAACATTGTTTAATCTATCCAAGCTTATAATACTGGACCTAAGTATGAATAAGCTAAGGGGCACATTACCATACAATATCGGTAATCTATCTGCCGCGCTTCAATGGCTAATTTTGGGTGCAAACAACTTGTCTGGGACAGTGCCACCGAGCATTGGGGCCCTAAAGAACCTAACAGTTTTAGATCTTGGAGGAAACAACTTCGTTGGACCAATACCATATTCCGTCGGGAGTCTGCCAAAGTTATGGAAGCTTGATCTTTCCAATAATCATTTTGATAGTTGGTAGCACACCGACACTACTGACTGCTAATGACTTATTCATGGTGGCCGAATGAGCCAGGGATGCAGTTTGCTGTGCGAGTGCAACGACCCGACGAGAGCTCTGCACCTTCCCGTTCTTGCATGGCTGTGTCACACTTTCTGTCAACGGGCGTGGTTGCTCTGTCTGGACTACAGTTTTCTATTGCTTGTTTTCCTTAGCGGTTTCCTATATTTTCAGCGGATCCATCCCCATGTATGTAGGGTTTGTGGATGTACGCACCTCATTTGTATTTCTGTCACCTAGATGAATTGAATAAAATGCTTCTGTTTGGGGAAAAAAACAATGTGGCTGCTCCCGGAAATGGTTGTATTGAGGGAGATGATTGGTGGCGCTGAGCCTTTGAAGGGCATAAATGATAAGTTCATGGTGCTAACAACGGGGCAAAGTCTCATCCATTGGTGAACCCCAGAAAAAAAAAATCCAACAGCAAGACAGAGAAGACCTGCGGAGGATAATCTTAGGGGCAGTCAAATAAGGTTTGTGGTGTTGGCCCGCTGTGGAGTTGCTCCCGGCCTATAACTTCTAGGTTGTTGTCAGAGCATCTTCAACACCCGCGCCAACGCACCGCACGTTAAAAGTCAGAATACAGCGCTGGATTAGCCAGCTTTTGCACGCGGCAGTGCGCTGGCTTCAGCGGCCGCCGCAAATTAAAGCACGTCCGAGCCGCTCCAACAAGTGGGCTATATTTCATCTGTTTTTTTCTACTACAATTTGATAATTGATAAAATGAGTAGATAGTTTTCTCCTACGGTAGATAGTTCATAGTTCGTCCGAACTCGGACTCTGCCTGCTTCTACAATAGCCTACTTCTATGATACAAAATAAAACAAAAAACTAGTACTACTCATCTGACTCGGACTCTCTCTCGGTGATGTTCTCGTCCGACGTCTGTGCGTAGGCGTCAAGAAACCGCTCGTCGCCGGAGTCTCAGGAGGACGCATCTCCTAGCGCGATGTTGTATTTAGTTACCGCGCTCCGCGTTCGCTTGTCCTCGCGATAGGCGGCTCGCTCCTCCCTCCTCTTGGCCCTCTTCGCCCTCCTCTCGGCGAATAACTGTTCCTCGTTGGTGTCTTGCGGGAAGCGATGGCTCCACAGCGCCATGGCTTGCTCGTCCATCTCGGCCAGCCTGAGACGACGCTCCCGCCTCCGGTGCTTGCGACGATCCTCGTCGGTGAGAAGCCGCGGGAAAGGCGTCAACTCTTGTGCCCGCTCCCACGTCGCCACATCGGCGAAGTTCATGTCCTGACGGGATCGCAGGAGGCGCCACACCGCAGCGTCGTATGCGCGGGCGCCCTCTTGGGCGGTGTCGAAGGTTTCGACGCGGAGGCGCATACCGCCGCCCGACCGAATCTCGACGGAGTAGGTGCCGAGCGGACGCACGCGGACGCCACGGTAGCCCGAAGCTCCCCGGCGGCGAGGCCGCATGGTGGCGCGGTGGTGGCGTGTCGGCGGCAGAGGGCGATGGAGAGATGGAGAGAGCGGCAGAGGGTGCTGCAATTTAAAGGCGCGCCGAACGCGGTGCGCCAAATGTAGCGCGCGAGCTGCCGCCTTTTCTCGCGCGCGCAACCATTCCCCGCGCGCGCTAGTTTCCCGCCACTGCTGAAGCGCGCGAAACGTCTCCCGCACGTTAAAAAGCCAATTTACCACGTGCGCGTCTTTTGACGCGACTGTTGGAGATGCTCTCATGTTCATAATGTGCTCTGGCGTAGCGACACCTCCTCTATTTTAATATTTTGAGCCGTGACACAAGAAAACACAGGGCGTGTTTGGTTCCTTGGGTAGCTTTAGGCTGCATGGCATGAGGGATGCTGGGTGAGTGTGGCCTGGTTGAGCCGATGCAACGAAGAGCCGAGATGAGTGTTTGGTAAAATTTGTATGAGATGGCTGGCTGTACGTGCAGGTTCTTTAAAATATAGCTGAAATCAGGAAGGAACGTGGATCAGGCGACAGTATTGGGCGAAGGGATCCGGGGCTCGATGACTACAGATGGCCTGACAGTGGATCCTCGCTTGCAACGGCGCGAGGCGGCAGGATCCGGCGTGCATCGCTTGGACAAGGGCAGACGAGGCCGGCGGCGGCGCTTGACCAGTCCTACAGCGACGGCGCTTGGCGAGGGCGTGACGGCGGCGGAGCTTGACGAGGGCGCGGCGGAGCTTGGCGAGGGCACGCCGACGGCGGAGCTTGACGAGCGCGCGGCGGAGCTTGGCGAGGGAGGGGCGGGGTGGCGGTGGCGCTTGACGAGTGCGCGGCGGAGCTTGGCGAGGGCACGGCGGCGACGGCGCCTGACGAGGGCGCGGCGGGGCTTGGTCGGCACAGACGAACAGAGGGAGAGAAAAGGCGAAGAAACGAGCCTGTACGCGAGCTACGCTTGATCTCTATGTTTCCCTCAGCCTGACTGAGAGGCCCCTTTTTGCATCCACTGGGCCAGGCTGAAAAGCCCATACAGGATACCAAACAACAGAAATTTGCATAGTGGATGCGAGGCATATGCAACGCAGCTAACCAAACACCCCCACAGTGAATCAAGAAGCTCTTCTCGTACGCGACTAATTTTCCTCCATACAAAGTGAGTGCTTGTTCAGACTGGTAGGGATGAGAGAGGATTGATGGGGATTTAATTCACTGCAAGTAAAAAGTCCCCTAAATCCGCTCCAATCTCCTTGGGAGGGGATTAACTCAAGAAGGTCTAGGTGTGTCTTAGGTGGTGTTTGGTTCTCTAGTTCTAAAACTTTTTCTAGTCCCAACTAAAAAGTTTCTAGTCCTAAAAAATCCCTCCCTATTTGTTTCCAGAGACTAAAAAGATCCTAGTCTCTTCCTAGAGGTTATTAAATGACCATGTTGCCCCTAGTATATAGAAAAATAACAATCAAACAACACCATGGGGTGGCGGGCCAATAGGTGCATGGAGGGGCATTGTTAGAAAAGTCTCAAAAAGTCTCAAAAAGACTCCTTGAGAGTCTTC